CAGTTACTCCTTTTCGTCTTTTTGCGGATACAGACTAACACGGCTGCTACTCTGAAACCTGTTATTAATTCCTAGTGTAACAATCCACTAGGTGGAGCTAGAGGCTAATTTGTTTCTAGGCAGATTATTGAAAAGGATTTAGGCTACATAATTAATTTAGGGAAGGTAGTCGGGGTGTTCTGGGAGGCTATAAATTGACTTATTTGGAATCACTGCCAGAGCTTTAGCTGAGTCGGCTTCTAACAGGGATAAATCTGTTCCCCTTTTTGACCTTAAATGGTCTTTCAGATTCATGCTATTTTTGGGACCCCATCATGAGTTTTCATACTAGTCCCAGGACTAAGCATATACACATATCGTCTCTCTGTGCCAACATCTACATCATTAAACAAAAAGCATGGCACTTACAGGGCATTTGCAAACCACCACATTATTCACTCTGTTTGTGTGTTATTTCCCTTCCCTCCAACCATTTGCTGATTTGTCTAGTTCAAGGGTTCTCAAACTTCATTGCATCGCGACACCCTTTTGACAATAAAAATTACTACATGTCCTCAGGAGGGGGGACCGAAGCCTGAGCCAGCCCGAGCCCCAGGGGAGTGGGAGAGGCAAAGCCAAAGCCCAAGGGCTTCAGTCCCAGGCAGGGGCCTGTAATCTGAGTCCCGAAGCCCAGGGCTAAAGCCCTCAGGCTTCGGCCCCAGGCGGTGGTGCTTGGGCTTCAGCTTCGGCCCCGGACCCCAGCAAGTCTAAGCTAGCGCTGGGGACCCCATTAACATGGGGTCGCGACCCACAGTTTGAGAACCGCTGGTCTAGTTAGTTCTTCAGGGACTGTCGTTTATTCTATGTTTGTACAGAGGAATCCTGATCTTATCTCTAGGTTCTACCATAATACAAATAATACATTTTACTACTATTACTAAAGCATGCAGCTTGAATGGTAGGGAGAACTGAACATCTGGGATTCCTAGAATGAACTCGTATCCTCAAGGCATTTATGATTTAAGAGATGGGAGTAATGTGGTTAGGAACCGGATTCTTGTCCATTCGTATCTGAAACAGCACAGTGGTAGGATTGTACTAGCATCTGGATTGTTTCTTATTTGTCCTGTTCCCCCACCTTGTTTTATGCATTAGTAACAAGCTCAAGCAAATCCTTCATCCAGTCTGACCTTTGGGACCCAGAAATGTGCTGTTGCAGTGAGTTCGCACCCTGGCCTTGTTAGCTCTGTATATCAAACATAGCTCAGCTTCTCTCTCTGTGTAGAGTGGCACTGCAGCTAAGGTGCCTATGGGAAACATGCATTATATTAAAATAGATTGCATTTGGGTTTTATTGGGATGACACTGTAGCGAGGAGGCATGGCCTCCCTCAGAATCTGACAGGCAGGGACCACAACACGCCCCCTGGTGGGCTGAACCAGGAGAGCCATGTCCGCCCCGCCAGAAGCGGAAGGGCAGGACAGGAAGGGGAAGTACAAATGGCAGGCCCTGCAGCTCAGATGGTCTGGAGCCACCACAGGAGATGGATGCATCATGCCTGCTGCTGGAGCCTGCAGAGGAGCTGCTGGGGCTGTCTCCTGAGGACTGGCTAGAGCTCCCAGGATCGCTGGCCGACCAAGATGCTGAAGAGTTGCCAGGGCTGCCACCTAAGGACTGGCTGGATCTCCCCAGGCTGCCGGCCACCCAAGACGCCGAGGAGCTGCCGCGGCTGCCGCCAGTGGACTGGCCAGAGCTCCCCGAGACGACAGATGCAGATACACCCGAGGGGGAGAGTAGGAAGCAGCCCAGGGAAACCAGGCAACAGTCTGGTTGGGAGCTGGCCTGATACAAGGTCAGCGTGTTGCGGGTGGATCCCTGCTGGCCCAGTGGCGGATCACACTGCCGTTGTTAGGGTCCTGGGCTGGGATGTGGTAGAGTTGGGCGGGCCTGAGTCCCCCCTGCCACCCCACCCCTGGGGTGGCACTACTCCCCCTCTTTAGACCAGGAGGCCTGCACTCCTCAGGCATGCCTGCCTGAGCCCCCTAGACTGTTATTGGTGGTCAGGCTTGCCTGAGCCCCTAAACCAGTGGTGGGCAACCTGCGGCCTGTGGGCCGCACGCAACCATAGGTGCCGACTTCTGCTGGCGCCGGTGGGTGTTCAACGCCCCCTCTGCTCCCAGCCCCCTCCCGCCCCTGCCCTGCCCCCATTCCAACCTCTTCCCCAAAGTCCCCATCCCAACTCCATCCCCACACCCCTATTCCAACCCCTTCCCCAAATCCCCGGCCCCGCCTCTTCCCCGCCTCCTCCCCTGAGTGCACCGCGTTCCCGCTCCTCTCCCTTCCCTCCCGGAGCTTGTTACGCCGCGAAACAGCTGTTTTGCAGAGGCAAGTGCTGGGAGGTAGGTGAGAAGTGGGGACGCAGTGCGCTCAGGGGAGGAGGCAGAGGTGATGTGGGGGGGAGGGGAACTTGGCAGAGCACCCACTAATTTTTCCCCGTGGGTGCTCCAGCCCCGGAGCACTCACAGTCAGCACCTATGCATGCAGCACATCAGGGTAATCCGCTGGCGGGCCACCAGACAGTTTGTTTACATTTGCACAGCCGCCCGCAGCTGCCAGTGGCCGCAGTTCGCCGTTCCTGGCCAATGAGAGTTGCGGGAAGCGGTGCGGGCCACTGGAAGCTGCGGGCGGCCGTGCAAATGTAAACAAACTGTCTGGCGGCCCGCCAGCGGATTACCCTGATGGGCCACATGCAGTCCGCAGGTTGCCCACCACTGCCCTAGACTCTCTAGGTGCTCACCCTTACCTGAGCCTCTCGACTTTATGGTGCTCACCCCTACTGGGGCTCATAGACTGCATAGCCATGCTGCCCTGATTGCAAGCGAGAGCCTTCTCATTGCTTTGCTGCCCCTCCCTGACTGGGCCTGGGGCTCATAGATGGAGCACTAGGTGAAGCTAACTCCCCGCTTTGAGCACCTTTACAGGTATGCGACAGCGAGGAGATGTGGCCTCCCTCAGAGACTGACAGAGAGGGACGGCCATGCAGCCTCCAGACACTGAAGCCTTAATGACTTGAGGGCAGCTTCCTTTTCCTTGCCCTTGGTTTCACATTGATCATTGAACATTACATTGTGCAGTCATGAGTGGAATGTCATAGAGACTTAACAGCACAGTTCTGTATCCTATTCAGTGAGGGTCAAATTCAGTGGAAGCAGGGCCGGTGCAAGGAAGTTTCGCGCCCTAGGCGAAACTTCCACCTTGCGCCCCCCCCATCCCTGCGGGAGCTCCCTGCCCCCCTCCACCCTGAGGC